ACCGGGGGGCGTGGCCATCTTCGGAGGGCGGGGCTAGAGATGGGTGTGGGGTGAGGGGTGGCGGGGAGCGTCGGGAAAGCACAGGTCAGAGAGGAGGGGCCAAATGTATAGAAAGTGCCAAAGATAGGAGAGGGGTGTGGCTGGAGTTTATGGGGGGTTGTATGGAGCTGGGGTAGAGACCTATATTCATTTTTGTGGCTGTTGCTTTTTAAATTTTTTGTAGAGACTGAGTTTCGCTTTAATGCCCAGACTGGTCTTGAACTCCTGGTCTCAAGCGATCCTCCCGCTTCAGCCTCCTAAAGTGCTCCAACAGTGTCCGGCTGGAGACTCATATTCTAAGAGCAAGACCGAGCTATGAGGAGAGGCTTTCATAACAGCAGAACAAGGAGTAAATTTGAGGATGGGATTCTGAGAAAAAGGCTGGGCCCTTAAGCCTTCGAGGGGAGTGGAGAGTGAGATTTGCCTCCCTACAAGCTTGAATATATGTTAGAATGTGCCCTATTGTGGACTCTGACCCCAAGACCTGCATAACGCCCACAGGAGAGGGAATCCAATGAAGGGGGGGGTGTGTGGGTAATGAATGGTGGACAAGCAGACATGGCATTCCTGGTATTTACTGTAAATGGTGCAGAATGGCCCTGGCCCAGCAGTGCACTGTGATATTCACAACAGGGCTTCCCAGAAGAGGCAGTGAGAAACCTGGGCTCTGTCTAGGTATCCAGTCTGCTGTACGTCTGAGGGAGAACATTGCCCTCTCTGGACCCACTTCCCTGCTATAGAGGAGAGTCATGTGAGTGTGCTGGCAGAAGCCTCTGACTGTGAGCTGAGGCCTGAAGCAGCAGGGACCCGAGGGTATGCTGTAATGGGCAGGACATTGGGGCCGGCACTGGAATTGAGCCCAGGGCTGGAGGGGAAAGCGGATCCAGGCCAGATGCCTCACAGCAATGGCCCCAAGGGACGAGGGGGTCCGGCAGGTAAGAAGAGTTGTGACAGGGCTGGAAAGAATAGCATGACCGTCCCTACCACCCTTGGGCTTTGCAGGCCTTGGGTTAAGCATTTTGTGTGCACATCTCATTGCATCTTCCGCATAGCCCTGAGCAGTCACAGAGGAGGACACCAAAACCCAGACAGGAGAAGTGACTTGCCTAATACCCCACAGCAAGTTAAGTGGCTGAGCCTTGACCTTAGGTCTATGACCCTGGAACCTCTAAACCACCCTGTAGGCTTAGGGGGCTCCTCAAGCTTAACACCCCGCCTGCCACCTTCAGCCTCAGTTTGATTCTTGTAATAGACTCATTCTGGGCCTGGAAAACAGTAAGACAGTAAATGCCGTTGCCCTGTTTCAGTAATAGTAACAGCAGCTAACATTCAAGGAGGCTTTCTTGGCCCCAAATTCTGTGCAAATGACCCAAGTGTGAGTCCTCAAACTATTCAGAGGTGGAGACCTTTATGATCCAATGAATTCGCTTTGAGTCTTAGTCTGTGCCAGGCAATGCACTAAGCATGTTACATATGTTAATTTTTCCCTTCACAGTGACCCATAAAATAGACCTTGTTGCTATTTCCATTTTATAGATGATGAGGCTAAGGCACAGAGAAGCCAGGAAGTGTCTCCTTGGTGCCCTGGTCTGTGCCCCTATCCCATGCCAGCAAGTCTGTCTTGTGGGGACTCACCTCAGCACTCCGGCTCCTGGCCTCCATGACACTGCTGGGAGTTACCTGGGCCCCAGGTTCCTGCTTCCTCTCCCCCTTCTGCTGCAGGACCAGCTTCAGTTCTGCATGGAGCAGCTGCCTCTGAGCCTGCCGGGGACAGGGAGGAAAGCTTGAGGCCAGGAGGGGATGAGAGGTAGAGGCTATGCTCTTAAGGCAAGGCCAGGGTGGATAGTAGAAGGGGAGAAGCCCCACCCTCCCCCCACCCATGCCGTCCTCTCACCGCTGCCTGGGCACAGGCACTGCCTCCTAGCAGGAGCCCAGCTCGAGGTGCTGCACAGCTGTCCGCGGGGCTCACGCCCTTCCTCAGGGGTCTTGCTGCCTGCCAGGGAAAGACCAGGCCATGAGACTTCAGGCAGACCAGAGAGGGGCAGGGAGGGGCATATGGCACCAGCCAGTGCTCACCTGAGGGTCACCTCCAGCTCCTTGGGCCTCCTGGGTCCGGGGCTCTAAGAAGAATAACGTGATCAGTGTTGCCTGCTAACACCCACTGATTGCTTCTTGAATGCCTGACTCCCCCTATCCCGATAGTGCAGGTGGAGAAACTGAGGCTCACGACACCTTTTTCCAAGATGTCACACAGTTGGGGTGTCACACAGTAAAGCCAAGACTGACTCCTAAGCCTGTCTAACAGCTGTGCCAGTCGCCTCGGCTGACTGAGGGGGCCACTGTAAAATGATGATAACTCTCCCAGTGAGCAAATCACCTCTGCTCTCTGTGCTGTAGTTTTCTCGCCTATAAAATGGGGAGAACAGCTAGGCACGGTGGCTCAGCCTATAATTCCAGCACTTTGGAAGGCCGAGGTGAGAGGATTGCCTGAGCCCTGGGGGTTCGAGACCAGCCTAGGTAACTTGGTGAGACCTCATCTCTATAATAAACCACAAAACAATTAGCCAGGTGTGGTGGTGTTCATCTGTACTTCCAGCTACTTGGAAGGCTGAGGTGGAAGGATCGCCCGAGCCCAGCAGGTCAAGGCTGCGGTGGCCATGAGCATGCCACTGCACTCCAGCCTGGG